TGGAATACCTGTAGCCAGTAAGTGGAGCCCACCCGAGTAACTTTGCCAGTAAACTTATATCCGGATTATTTTAGTCACCTAGATGCACCTGACACAGATTTTGACATGTGCGTCTTTTATGCGTAAAGCACATTCTGGAAACCTCCAGCTTGTTGCAATTCAGGCGCCACCGCTAAGGCAAGCCCAGTCTAACGTCGTTTAGCACATCTGGTGCAGTCACTGGCAAAGCCACTACGTCGGCGAAACCGGTTACTCTGGACGCAGACGGCCGCGGGCGGAAGGGCAGTGCGGCAGAAAAACGTCAACTGTAAAGCCGCGGCACATTCAGTTGGACTCGTTTGCACCCACAAGTTTTGGAATTTTCCGTAGAGGTGACAAGCGAACGAACGGCGCTGTTTTGTTATTATTCAGCTCAGTTAATCGAAACGCGCAATGATCACTCTATTCACTGCTCCCTCAGAAACTGTTTGCTAGCACACATGCGATTTTTGCATCAAAGAAAGCAAGTAAGGATAAATTTCCGAATTCCACCCGACAATCAAAATGATGTAGAATTTCAGATTTTGAAAAGTAATAAGCTGTTGTAAATCAGACCGACCCGCTAAAGGAGAGTAAACGCTCAATCCTTTCGTTTGGGTTTTAACTGAAAACAAAATTAGATTAAAGCCATCCTAAAAGAGATTTGCACGACTTCTGAAATAGGCTAATTATTATGACTCTCTTGCATTAATTTTTTTATTACACTTATATTGGACGGAGTTTATCTATAGCTAACATCAGTGTCTAGCTACCAGTCCCATTACTACGAAAATATACCTAAATTCGTTTTTCATTTATCTCTGACTTTTATGATGAGAGCGTACTGCTGTGCAGCGCTCTGTGACTTCCAAAATTAGCTGAAAGTTTGAATAAAGTCTTTGGAGATTGAAGTTTGGTCATTAATCTGAAAAGGTGGGCCCTAAACTGAACCGATTATGATGTGCAGCTACAGCTACATGCTTAACAATGCACAGCTCTCCTAGCTCTACTAGGTTGGTCAAAATATACCCAATCGGTGACTCGTAAAACATATAGAAAATGTCAGCCATCACTGATTTATACAGTGGAGTCAGGGGAACATTAAGAAAAAAGACGGGTTAAGTTGGACTGGCTGTTCCTAG